TGGCATGGAGTGGGATTTTAACAAGAGTGTGTGGTTTGCCATTATTGGTTTTGGTCATGGGAGGGGGATTAACAGGAGGGGGGGTGAGAGCCGTGGGGGGGAGATGGAAGCAGTGAGGGGGGGAATGTATAGTTGTTTGGGGGAAGTGGGGATAGAGAAGAGAAGCAGATTTTGGGAACGGAGAAGAAAGGAGGTACGAAGAGGAGGAGTACAGGTGTTATTTTAGAGGGAGGTAAATGAAGTGGCAACAAGTGAGGTGAAAGTACTCTTGGGCGCTTGTTGTAGATGTTGGCATGCGTGACGTATCTCATAGGTGTACCTTTCCGTGACAAGGAGTTCTCGTGGTTAGATCAGATGGGTAGAGTTCATTTCGCAAGTTGTCATCGGATGGGCTTCGGTCAGGGCAGGGTTGCGCCTGGTTGCGATGGTAGGCCTCGCCAGGTCGAGATCAACCTTGGCTTGAGGAGATGCAGGAGGATGTATGATGGGCTGCGGGTCAGGCTGGTAGTGCTGGTAGGCGAAGGTGGGCCTCACCAGGTCAAGATCGTCCATTGGGCTTGAGGAGATTGCTGGGTGAGACGTCATCAGTGAGGTGTTTCCCCAGGGTCTTTCTTCGGATAGGCTCGGTTCGGGCCCATTTTTTTTTTCCGGGTGGGCCGATGGTGGGCCCCCACAGGCTGGGGGTTTTGGGGTTTTCCAAAGGGGCTAAACGGGCCCGGGCGAGTTCGAAGGGGGGGGAGGGGGGGGAGGGTAGGCCTCACCGGGCCCTGGGGTCATCTGCTTTTTTTCGGCGGCGTGGATCTTTGTATCTAGACTGGTTTTTTTTTAATTTTTTTTTTTTTTTTTTTGTTTCCCGGGGGTTTCACCCGGGCTAAAAGTGTTCATCTTTTTCATATGGGTTGCCCCTACCTGGGCACTTGGGGCATGTGTTTTGGGGGTTTTCTTCCCAAAATGCCTGGATCAAAGAAAATCTGTGGCTGTGCCCGGGTGGGGGGTATGCCCTTGTAGTGCCCTCGCCCCAAAAGTCACTGAGTGAAAGGTTCAAGATGGGAGGCAGCGGTGTGGATCCCCTGCAATTTTGCCCTACAAAAAAAAATTGAAATTTTTCAGTTTAAATGCTAATAATTGGGTCCCTGCCCCCTATACGGTAAAATTATATACTGTTTATGGTATATTGATGTTACAACCCCACCCAACCCCCCTACTTATACCTTTTGGGGTTACTTTTACATATCCTGCCCCCTTTCACTATTATTCTATGTTGTACATTACATACTCCTGACCCCTGAAATATAAATTTTTTTTTGCCATTACATACTCCGCCCCCCCCTTCCCCTTTTTATATTTCTATTTATGTTGTACATTACTTTAACCCCTTAACCCCCCTGCACTATTTTTTTCTATGTTGTACTTTACTACTCCTGCCCCCCTGCCCCTAATACTTATTTTGAACTTTAATTTTACTCCGGGCCCCCGGGAAACTATAAAACTCTATGTTGTACATTACAACTCCTGCCCCCTGCACTATATACTCTATGTTGTACATTACATACCCTGCCCCCTGCACTATATACCTATGTTGTATTTTTAAACATACCCCCTGACCCCTGCACAAATATACTCCATGTTGTACTTTACATACCCCCTGACCCCCTGCACTATATACTCTATTTTGTACATTACTTTACTCCTGACCCCTGAAAACTATATACTCTTTGTACATTACATCTTTTTTGTTTACTTTTTTAGTCCTATCTGAGATCTTAAACAAAAATTTTTGGGTTATTACTTTGGGCCTTTTTTCTTTTGCCCCCATTTAGTCCCATTTGGGAATTTTTATACCCGGTTTTATGGGGATTGGAGCACAGATTTTTAACTTTGGTGATAAAAAAGTGAAAAACATCCTCAAATTTTTGGGGCCCCCTTAAACGAAAGTGAAATGAGGGGGGAGTAAATTACCCCCAATGAGGGTTTCCCTTCGGGATCACCCCCAGTCTTCATTTTGGGTTTTTTCCCCCCCCCATCCTCAACTTGACCTTGGTGGGGCCAGCCCCACGTTTTTCTTACAAAAACCCAAGGAAATAAAAAAGGAAGTGCAGTACTTCTTGTTTTGGGAAGATGGGGGATGAGTGTTTAGAGGGGGTGGGGCCCCTCGTCCTATAACCCCCCTCATCACTGCCCCCTCCTATAAATGACGTTTTTTTGGTTTTTTCCCCTCACTCTCTGACTAAAGGTCCATGAAAAAAAGAAATGACCTGGTAGGAGATCAGAGGACCCAAATTTCCCTAGTTTCCCTTTAAAGGGTGGAATTGTAAGCCCCACAGAGACCAAGGCCGGGATGTGGGCCGGGAGTCCCCGGTTTTTGGGGGGAAACCCTAGCCCCCTGTCTGTAATCCTCTTTGTCTTTGTATTTTTTGGGGCTATGGCCGGGAAAATTTAGGAAAACCTCCCAGGGTTGTCTCACTTTGTCTCCAGACTGGAAAGTTGAAAAATGAGGCATCACACAGGATAGTCCAGGGGAAAACCCCGGGGCCCCCCCAATTCCCCGGCACCACCCATTTTAGATGGCCATCGGATTTTCCCCGTATCCTGAGGAACCTCAACTGTGGGGACCGGGCCCGGGCCTTTCAACAGGGGGAAAAGGGGTTTTTCCCGTACAGAGGTGCGGGAAAAAGTTTTTCAGATAAGGGCTAAACTTTACAGAACATAAGAAATTGCACACTGGGGGGCCCAAACCCCATTCCTGTCCTCAGGTGCGGGAAAGTTTTTTTACAGAAATCCCTCTTTTAAAACATCAAAGGGTCTCACACCGGGGAGAAGCCAAAATTTCCCGTTCTGAGGCGGGGAAAGGTTTTTCACAGAAAGTCCCCTTTTTTTTACCCAATCAAAAGATTGGGGACACCGGGGCAGAAGCCGGAAATTTCCCGTCCGTTGCGGGGAAAAGTTTTTCAGGGCGATCCCGGGCCCTTTAAAACACATCAGAGAAATTTTTATAAAAGGGGAAAAAAACCTTTTTTCTTTTTTGAGTGCGGGAAATGTTTTTTTTTCAGGTCCGAAACTTTACAGACATCGAGAATTCACAAAGGGGGGAAAGGGGCCCCTTTCCCGTCCTGGGGTGAGGGAAAAGTTCCTTTACTAAGTCTTGTCTTCCTGTACCTCAGGGGGCCCACCCCAACTCGGAGGTTTTATTAGTGCCCGGGGTGCGGGAAATGTCTTCTAGAAGAATGTTTTTGGGCCCTCCCAGCTACATGTGGGGGAAAAGCACACCTGATTTTCCCTACATATATCCAAAAAAAAAAACAAAAAAAAGCCACCCCAATGACCCCAAATATTGGTATTGTCAATTTTTCCCGACTAAATTGTACAAAGGGGGATCCATGAACCCAGAAAAATGCATCCCAAACAAATATGGTTTGTGTGACCCAAGGGGACCCCTACCTGGGGGAAAGTAGGTTTTCTTAAAAGATCCCGCGGGTAAAATGATTCAAAAAAATTTTTCCCAAAAATCTTTATTTGATCACATAGTTTATAAAAGGGGGTTTTAAAATGAGCACGGTGGGAAAATGTTTAAACACATAAAAATCATGTTAAAAAAGCCCTTGGCGGGCTTCATTTCGGGGTTTCTTAGCCCTTAGGGGTACCATAAAAGCAATGTAGGGTAATAGTAAAAATAATTATCCTAATTTCCATGAGTTTCCCAAAATTGTTTTAGAGTGAGCCAAAGTATTCAGCAGATATTTTCCCAAAGGGAAATCAGGGACCCTTCCTGGGTTTTTAAGCTGGAAAAACAGAAATACATAATGTTTTTCAAAAATACAAAATATTTCAATGTGACAGGAAATCCTTTGATCTTTATTGGGTTTTTTTAAAATAAACCCCCATTTTGGTTTTTTTTTTCATGGTTTACCCTTTATGCCTGTTATCTTATAAAATTCATTTTTTTTTTAAATTATTAAAAATACCCAGGGAAACATTTGGGTTTCTGTGGAAACCCTTTTTTCACTTTTTTTTTTGGGGGGGGGGGGGGGTTTCCCCCGAATCCCAAAATTTGAGAACGGGTTTGATAGCCTCATCATTGGGGAAAGGTAAATAGAAAGTATCCCCTTTACTTGTGTAGAGGGGGGGCCTGCCTTATATGGTACTCTAAGTGCTAAGATGACCCCGAAATGAAGACGCCCAAGTGCTTTTAACATGTTTTTATGTGTTTTGACAGTTCACCGTGCTCATATTTAACCTCCTTATGATCTATGTGATCAAATAAAGTATTGTTGGAAATTCTTTTGAATCATATTACTCCCGTGAGGATCATTTAGTAACCTACTTTCTCCAGGTAGGGGTGCCCTTGTCACACTACCATATTGTTTAGTACAACCTAACATATACTCCCATGGATGATCTTCATCATGTCAAAGAAACACGTTGATAAGGAGATCAGAGGCCACTGAAGACATGGATTGAAGTGTCGGGACCGGGTTGGCCATTGATAGCAGGAGAAGAATAAAAATGGAGTCCTTACCTTTCATAGGCTCTAGTACAATTTTTTAACATTCCTAATATAGATTGAGTTTTCTAAAGAGAATATACAAAGAAGCAATATGTCTGGGGGTTGAAAGAGGAGAAGAGCACCTCATACTTCTTGCATGACTTCATGAATAAAAGATAACTCACTAGTAACCAATGAAATAATTAGAATCTCTCCAATAAAGAAAGAGTAAGGAAAATCTTCTGGCAGGCACTGACCTGGATGAGTGTGACCGGTGTGTGATACCTGATCAGGAAAACATGGCATGGACTCTCTCCTGAGACTTTGTTCCCAACTCCTAATAAGTGAGAGGAGCAGCAGAATGTCATAATGTTCCCTAGATGTCATGATAAAGCCAAGGAAGTAAGGTTCGGCCATGAGTGCGGACGACAGAGACACATCAGGAGAGCAAAAGAATGACAACGTCATGAACCAGAAAACCAAGATATACACGGCCAGATGGGGAGCCAACACTGTTATGTATGCGTGTCCTCAATGCGTGTTCCATACACGGCTGTCTGATCTCTACAATGTAACCACCTTCACCACCCATCCATAGAAGTAAAAGAAGACAACATAGAGGATTGCTCCAAGGATGTAAGTGTTGCTGCAATAAAAGTGTCCCATCTATTATGGAAATGTTTTGACTGAGGCTTGGTTGTTGAGCTCCATGTCTACCTTCTCTCTGTAAATCAGAAGACGTAGATCTTTTTTAGTGTCTGTGATGGTGGGGGACAAGGCGATAGTCCATTTCTTAGGAATAGCCCTGTGGGCCACCAGTAAACATAATAATATCCACCGCAAGTTCCTGGGATTTGTGGATGTGGGTTTTCTCGGCTGAATGGAGAGTTGTAGCGGAGCCGAAGAGTAAGAAGAACTGGGTCCATGGGGAGTGAGCAGCCACAAACTCCCTGATGTAGGCTAACACTTGTTCCCAAAAGGTTGAGATGCGGGGCCATTCCTGAAATCGGTGGAAGAGAGAGGGCGGTGCTCACTATATAGTGGATTTGTGGAGAGTTCTTGGTGGATAGAAATGGGATGAAGGCCCCATGGAAGAGCTTACATTGAGACTCTCCAGGATTCATTCACCACAAGCCTTTGCACTTTGTTCTATCCTTCCAGTATGTTGCCCACCAGGTTCTCTCCCGGTATGACCTTGCTCCAAGATTTCACAGATGTGGGATGTAGAGGTTTAGTAAAGAGAGAGTGTAAAGGTTGATAGATGTCAGATATGGAGTATTTCCATTCCTGTAGGAAGCGATCCGATATGGAAGTTTGAAAACATTGTTGCTTGGCTGGGCAGCACCAGTTTATACAACCTGAGAGGTGTAGGTAGTAGAGAGAGGGATGGCTTGGCAGGGCATAAGTTGATGCAAGGGTTGGGAAAGATTTCAAAGTTCCTGATAGTTCAAATATGTGTCATACATGGAGGCAACGCAGGAGAGCCCCTTAGAACTCCAAATGTTGAAAGCCGCATATTGAACAGCTTGTGGAAACATTGGATTGCCTCTTATGGGCAAATATTGGGAGACATGGGGTGACAGGCCCAGTTTGCTCTGTATGTCCCTCCATGTAAGAATCAGATCCCGTATCAGAAGGTTGTGTTGAATACTTGTGGGGAACAATTGTATTTTGCAATGCAGGAGTGCAGCTAAGTCATATGGTTGCCCCACTGCCAACTCCAAATCATAATTGGTGTATGAGGAAGCCTGAAGTATCCAATCTGTCCCTATACACAATAAACAGGCAAGGTTATACAATGGAATATTGGGAAAGTTTGCTCCACCCTCTTTTTTTTTTTGCTCCCCCTGTTTAAGCAGGAACCGAATTGTTTGAAGAGGGTACAATAGGCGAGCAAAGCTCACCATTTTGAACAGGTGGCATCCCCCAAAAAGCGATAGGAGAAGGTACATCCATGTTTCCATCTCATTTCCTATTTTAGATATCAGTGGAGGGTAGTAATGATAGACCGAGGATGGCTCCTTCCCTATCGTAATGCCTGAATATGTGATCTGAACATTTGCTACGTGAAGAGAGACTGCTGGGCCCAGGGAAGGGTGTTGGTTAGAGAAAAGGAAAGTATTTCACTCTTAGCAGAATTGATTGGAAGGCCAGAGCACTGTAGGCAGCTTGTGAAGACCTGATGGAGAATGTGAATATCTGCCACAGGATCCGCCATAAAATAATATCATCGGCAAATAGGACTACACAGAGTTCTTCTTGACCTGTCTGAATCCCATGTATTGGGGCTCTGGAGGAAAAGGTAACGGGGAAAGGTTCCAGGGCAAGGTTGAAAAGAAGAGGTGAAAAGGGGGCAACCCTGGTGAGTACCCTTCGTGCAGCAATATTTCACCTGATATGAGACCTGCAGCTACCACCCTGGGTGAAGGTGCAGAATCCATACTGCTGAAAAAGCCATCAGAAGAACCAGAGCAAGCCAATGATAGCTGACATTATCCAAGGACTTTTCCAGCATCCAATGTAATAATAGCTCGATCCTCAGACGGGTGTACCTTGCCTTGTTCCAGCTCTGCAATAACTTTCTGAATGTTGGAAGCCACTGGTCTACCATTAATAAAAGCCAGCCTGGGCAGTATGGATAAGGGAGGGGTAATATTGCAGCCAAGAGGGATGCTACTATTTCAGAGAGTATTTTAGTGTTCACATTTAGGAGGGATAGGAGTCGGTATGCCTCCGGTTCAAGTTGGGTCCTTGCCCTTATTAGAAATCAATTTTATATAGTCTTGGTGACCCATTGGAAGGTATGGGCCCCCTCCCAAACCTCGTATATACTGTCAGTAGTTGAGGGATGAAGAGAGTCCATCATCTTATAAAATGCTGGTGTGTAGCCATCAGGACCAGGTGATTTCCCACTAGGTAAGCCTTTAATCACCTCAGACTCTTCCTTTAATGAAATAGGGGCATTTACAGATTGCAGGTGGGGGGGGGCCAATAGTGAGTAAATGAAGTGAGTCTAGGAATTTTGTGGTCACCTCAAGGTCTTGGATCTAGATATAGAGTGGCACAAATATCTTCCAGTATTTTATTGGTTTCTTCTGAGGAGGAGACAAGGGCAGCAGAAGTATCCTTTAGGGAGGCTACATGAGTTGGTTGGAGAGACCCTTTGCTTACCCACCTTATCACCATATTTACACAATTGTGAATCAGCAGAATAGGAACAATTACTGTATATGTTTTACCTAGCCAGCCAAGTCCTTCCTGTGTTTAGCGCCTCCACTCTGCTACCCAGCCGAAGTCCTTCCTGTGTTAGCGCCTCCACTCTGCTACCCAGCCCGAGTCCTTCCTGTGTTAGCGCCTCCACTCTGCTACCCAGCCGAGTCCTTCCTGTGTTAGCGCCTCCACTCTGCTACCCAGCCGAGTCCTTCCTGTGTTAGCGCCTCCACTCTGCTACCCAGCCGAGTCCTTCCTGTGTTAGCGCCTCCACTCTGCTACCCAGCCGAGTCCTTCCTGTGTTAGCGCCTCCACTCTGCTACCCCCAAGTCCTTCCTGTGTTAGCGCCTCCACTCTGCTACCCAGCCGAGTCCTTCCTGTGTTAGCGCCTCCACTCTGCTACCCAGCCGAGTCCTTCCTGTGTTAGCGCCTCCACTCTGCTAACCCAGCCGAAGTCCTTCCTGTGTTAGCGCCTCCACTCTGCTACCCAGCCGAGTCCTTCCTGTGTTAGCGCCTCCACTCTGCTACCCAGCCCGTCCTTCCTGGTGTGTTAGCGCGCCTCCACTCTGCTACCCAGCCTAGTCCTTCCTGTGTTAGCGCCTCCACTCTGCTACCCGGCCGTGTCCCTTCCTGTGTTAGCGCCTCCACTCTGCTAACCCGGCCGAGTCCTTCCTGTGTTAGCGCCTCCACTCTGCTACCCGGGGCCCAGTCCTTCCTGTGTTAGCGCCCCACTCTGCTACTCCCGAGTCCTTCCTGTGTTAGCGCCTCCAGTAACAGGGCTACCCAGCCAGTCCTTCCTGAGGGTTAGGGCCTCCACTCTGCTACCCAGCCGAGTCCTTCTGTGTTTAGCGCCTCCACTCTGCTATCCAGCCAAGTCCTTCCTGTAATTTAGCGCCTCCACTCTGCTACCAGTGGCCCAAGTCCTTCCTGTGTTAGCGCCTCCACTCTGCTACCCAGCCAGCCGATAGCTTCCTTCCTGTGTTAGCAGACCTCCACCGAGGTACCCAGCCAAGTCCTTCCTGTGTAATAGCGCCTCCATCTGCAAACCCGGGAGATTTCACCTGTCCTTCACTCCAGGCCAGAACCCCCAGAAAATCCCCCCTGTACCCATCTCAGGCTCTCTCCTTCCATTCACAGGGCTTTTCAGAGGACATCTGACAGTGGAATGAGGACATGTTATTACCACCCCCACCACCTGATTTCACCCTACAATGACACTGCGGCTTACCACATTGTAAATTGTGTGCATTGTACGTAGTAGTGGTGTGGCCCAATTGAGCCCAGTGGGGGAGCTTAAAAAGAGGTGCTGCCTTGTCAGACTCTGCAGCCCCCGAGTTAAATAATGCTGCAGACACGGCCTGTTTAATAGCTTCCATCTGGCTGTTATTTTACAGTTCGAGGGCAGAAACACTGTGGCTCAGCTGTCCATTTTTACCCACCCCCAAAAGCCAACTGAAAGAGACCAATCTCATGAGCAGCATGTATCTAAAATAAATTGAATAATTAGCGCTAACTATGGTGAAATGGAAACAAAAAATTAGAATTAAATAATGTAGCCGCTAGTGCACACAACCCATGTCTCAGTATCCGCGGCCAAAAAAAACAAAAAAAAAAAAAAAAAAAATAATAAAAAAAAAAAAAGTTAAAAAAAAAAAAAAATAAAGTTTAAATAAAAAAAAATTATTTATGTATCCGCTCACCGTCCTCCACCATGTATCCGCTCACCGTCCTCCACCATGTATCCGCTCACCATCCTCCACCATGTATCCGCTCACCATCTTCCACCATGTATCCGCTCACCCATCCTCCACCATGTATCCGCTCACCATCATCCTCCACCATGTATCTGCTCACCTCACGCAGTGTGACCACACATTATACGATGTTACGGTCAAACTGCAATTTTGGTCCCCATATGGACTCAGAGGATCAGCTTGCTGAATGAAGACTCCAAAGTAAGCTCCCTCCTGATAAGCATCTTTGTATCAGCCGTATTCCTCATTAAAAAGAACTCCACATGGTGCTTTATCCTTTTATACTATTATTCATCAATTAGACATAAGAAATGCTCTCACGTTCCGGAGGTGTACATTGCACCAGGTATGATGAACATCCAGTGATGTACTGATCAGACACAAGGTGGCAGTATCATCTCAGCAGCAGAGTCCTGCACATGCTCAGAACAGACACCATCCATCGGGAGGAGTGTGCGGATGACGTCATGATGTTGCCATTCATCGGGACAGCAGGTTTGTAGTACTCTCTAACGGCCCTTGGAAGGACATTACAGCAGGCAATAGCATTCACTAAGGGGCCCCGTGCTTTTGCCGTACATCACATGATGGATGGTGTCTGTTCTGAGCATGTGCAGGACTCTGCTACTGAGATGATACTGCCACCTTGTGTCTGATCAGTACATCACTGGATGTTCATCATACATGGTGCAATATACACCTCCGGAACGTGAGAGTATTTCTTATGTGTAATTGATGAATAAAAGTATAAAAGGATAAAGCACCATGTGGAGTTCTTATTAATGAGGAATACGGCTGATACAAAGACGCTTATCAGGAGGAGGGAGATTACTTTGGAGTCTTCATTCAGCAAGCTGATCCTCTGAGTCCATATGGGACCAAAAGTGCAGTTAGACGGTAACATTGTACAATGTGCGGTCACACTGCGTGAGGTGAGCAGATATATGGTGGAGGATGGTGAGCAGATACATGGTGGAGGATGGTGAGCAGATACATGGTGGAGGATGGTGAGCAGATACACGGTGGAGGATGGTGAGCAGATACATGGTGGAGGATGGTGAGCAGATATATGGTGGAGGATGGTGAGCAGATACACGGTGGAGGATGGTGAGCAGATACATCGCGGAGGATGGTGAGCAGATACATGGCGGAGGATGGTGAGCAGATACATGGCGGAGGATGGTGAGCAGATACATGGCGGAGGATGATGAGCAGATACATGGTGGAGGATGGTGAGCAGATACATGCAGAGGATGATGAGCAGATATATGGCGGAGGATGGTGAGCAGATACATGGTGGAGGATGGTGAGCAGATACATGGCGGAGGATGGTGAGCAGATACATGGCGGAGGATGGTGAGCAGATATATGGTGGAGGATGGTGAGCAGATACATGGTGGAGGATGGTGAGCAGATACACGGCGGAGGATGGTGAGCAGATACATGGTGGGGGACGGTGAGCAGATACATGGCGGAGGATGTCTCTGCACGGGAATTGATGACAGATGCACATATTTTTTTGTTATCCAAAGGAGGGTTCACTGAATGAACACTTTATTGATTGAACTTGATTTTTTTGAATGACTTGTTTGATTCATGCTTAAAAATATTTTTTATTTTTTGTGTGATTTTTGTTTATATAAATTATTTTATTTTTTTTATTTCAATATTAATAGTTTTTCTACTATTTTTTATTCTAATATATATATATATTTTCACTTTGTTTTTTGGTTATATAAGGATTGTGCCATTGTTTCATGTAGCGCAGCATTTTTCCACTTCACATGATGATCATCAATGGACAGCCAGAGACTATGTCAGCATTGTAGGATATGAGCAGCTTGCTGCAGTGTGGGTGCCAACAAGTGGCCATATGAAATTGGCCTTAAGCCCTTCTGGTTCTGGTCATCTAGTTTAGTAACCCAAACTGAAAGAGGACTTTGCTATGTTGGTTAGGGCTAGGACTTACTACCGGGGCCTGTACTATGTGACTGTTTAACATCCATGTGTTTCTTGAATGTCAGGGCTCGCATCTTTACTGTGTCTTTTTTTTACTCTTCACGTATTTGTACCTCAGAATGCCCGGGGTGCTATGGGGGAGCTCCCAGCCCCCTCTGGATGCAGAGGCCAGCGTCCCTGAAGGTCAGTTTCTAAACTGCTTACACACATATGCACATGTAATGTATGTAGAAGGCTTCCCCTCCCCCTTACTTGTCTCCATTGGTTGGCCTCATCCTGAGTTTAGGATGCCCCCCCAAAGAAATAAAACATTCACACTAAACAACACATCAGGCAGATAGGGGCTTAATCTTCACACTTAGACCTGACAGCTGAGTTGGTCTACATAGGAATACATTAAAGTGTTTTTCTAATTAAGAAAGGACAATAAACCAAGAATATGACACAATAGTCAAGCACTAACCTGACACTCCAGTGAGCAAAAACCTGCTTCCCAAGTAACAAGTGTTTGTTCCACTCTGGTCTCTCCACCATCTTAAAGAATCACTCTAATAGATGCAGCTGACACATCCAGCTTCCTGGGAGATGGACCGCCTCCCTTCAAGGACACACCTGGTTAATCACACTGCCAGATCTATAGGAATCTCTGGACCTGTGTGGAGGGAGTTGGGCCACTACCCTCCAATAGGCTCACAGAGTTTGCTCAGCTCTGTGCTCTGGCTGTGTATAATGTGTGTAGAGATCCCCTCCCCTCCCCCTCCCTGCAGCTAATAGAAAGCTAGGATAGATGTCTTTGGTAACTCTGTGGAGGAGATAGGTGTGCCAAAGTCATCTGTTGTCTTTACTGATGAGATTGCCCTTTTCACTGTTGCCCACAGATATATTTGTAGTCAGTGAGAAAACACTTTAATCTAGGCCTAAGGATTCCAAGCTCACTCCCTGGGCCATGAAATCCTCCCAGGCAAGAAATGTAAGCTCTGTGTTGCAGTTATGAGGTGACAACAGCATAGAGTGCTTTCAGGATAATGGACAAAGGTAGACAAGTATTGCATGCTGTTGTTGGTTTTTATTGCAGATAATACATTTTGTTTGGCTTTTTCTACAGTGTTCACCGATCCAGACATTCGTGGCCTCCTGGGCTGGGTGTGCCGACACATCCAGACCCTGGAGCAAGCCCTGGAGGTGGACCCAGCTGAGGACCAGCCTGGACTTGTGGCCTATATTAAGCAATATTTTTTGTTTTTATAAATTTGTAAATAAATGTTCTATTTCTCTTGGACAGTGCCCTGTGTTGTGGCCTTCTACTTCAGCCTTTGCAGGTCGGCAATCTTCTTCATTGCAGTTGGAGCTGATCTGCATGTCCCTAAAGCATTGCAGGACTCTGCTAGCTCCAGCTGCACTGGACAATCTTGCTTACCTGGAATTTCTGGTAATGTCCAAACGAAGTGTTTTCTGGCAAGTCCAGCTTTAGGACTGTAGCAGATAGGATTGCATGTTTCCGAGAGGTAAACCAGCTCCTTCAATCCTAAGCTGGGATACATAAAGATTGAAGTTGTCTGCTTGCTGTCTGCAGCTACTCCCAATCTTGGTTTGCTTCCTCTTGTGAAATGCTGCAACAGTTTACACAGAACACTCCATTCACGTTACATTGTTCACGTTTGGAGTAGCTCTTCATTCCATCCAGGGACTTCTACATAGCTTGGTGGAGTGGAGTTGTGCAGACTGCCAAAAGGGGGGTGCAGCCAAGTAGACAATGTGAGGGGATCCTGTGGCCCAACTCTGTCAAGATGTCTCCCATCACCTCATCTCTAGTTGGGATTGGCATTACACAGAAGTCACATGACATGAAAGCTGCTCTTGGATGGACTATCAGTTATGGATGAGACCAGTTACATGCAATGTCCCCCAGAAAAGAAGGGGCCCTAATTGTCTATCTGCTCCACACATACCACTTGGATCCAACTTGTTCCTCATTCACATGTCAGTGTTTTGGCAACAAGAGGTGGGGAGGGAATGAAGTGAGGAACAAGTGTCCACTGGGCACATAAATTCCATAGGCACACACGTCTAGAATCAGGCAGCTAAAGATCCTATGCTCCCCAACCAATCTCGGGACAAGATGTTACACGGGGTGTAAAGCAAACTTAGTCTGGGTCCAGTTAGTCCAGCATAATGATAGTCCAAACAACAGAAGGCCTTCTTCTTATTTTCTTATTAAAGAGTGTAACACACAGCACAAGGGTACAGTAGGACAGGGGGCTCGTCTGACACCAAACACTAGATCATGTTCTTGTCCCACCTCTAGGACCAGGTATTGGTGAATGCCTTTCCCTGACACATTACACTGGATGAACATTTGACTGAAATGAATGGTTTGGCATCTTTCCCCAGACTGATACCTTCCTGCTGATTTGTCACATGCACATCACTCCCTCCAGCTCCTGACTAAGCAATGATCCAAGAAAAGTAAGTTACACATCACGTTGCCAAGTCCTGCCCAGCCAGGAACGGAGTTATACTCTAAATGGGTGACTCATTAGCGAGAACATCTTTAGCATCTCTTACAGGACGTTCTGGCAACTCAGGTGGAGGTGACGGCATTTCACACAAGTTTGGAGTGCCTGAACTTCCCTGCACCACAAAACAAAAAAAACAATACATGACATTTCCCAAATACACATGCAACATGCATTTGTACATCCCCCACCCATTACAGCAGTTCCCATACCCCAACATCAGAGGCAGATTCTTCTCCCACTCCAACAGCTGGGGCCTCCAGGGGCAAAAGATGATCTGCAAATAGAGTTCAAGATGATGATTAGTAACAGATACTAGTTAGGCTGTATGTATGATGTGACATTTGTGACCAAGGTTTGAGGGATTGCTCATTGGTATGTTCTTCACCCAAGTTTATCCAGAGAAATAGGACACTGGCAGCCATAGCCCAGGAGACTGGTAGGGAGTAGAAAGAGGCATGGTAAGGCTCAGGAGCAGGGGCCACAAGAATGAGGGGCCACCTTTCCTGCCAAACAAGGAGGCAGATGTGTTAGGATGGCTCCATTATGCCCATAAGCTACTGCAGCCATTTTGACCATGGGCTTCAAACATTAAAGCAAAATATATAACATTTGTCGTTAAGGCAACATTCCAAAAAGGATTCACTAGGTTAAACAAGGGTCAGCCAGGGCCAAAAATAGATCGAAGCAAATATAAATGTTCCCCAAAATATTTCCAAAGCCAGAAAAACGCATGTAAATGCACCCAAAGGAATTGTTGATATAACTGTTGATCTGAAGAGACCAAGAGCAATGCATCCAAAACTCCTTTAATCACTTTTAAACCGCAGGTCTCCTGCAAACTCAATGTGAAAAAGAAAATAATGAACTCATGTGGCAGTCTCAGAGTATCCAAAAACATTAAACAGCCTTTCCAGATGATTGGAAGCTGAGCTACAAAGGGCGGGACTACTCAATATTGAACCCTACGGACTAAGACTGGGATGTCATTCAAGTTCATGTGTGTGGAAAGGAAGTCATCCCAGCAGTGTTGGCAATATAGTGTATTTGTCAATGAACTATAGATTAGTCTTTATGATGCCTTTTGGGCTTTAGACAACTTAAATTCCAAGATTTTCGGTGGATAAGTCTGGCAAAGGAATAGATCTTCCTGCTAATCATGTGATGTGCCAAACTCAAGCAGTCTAATTATTTTACATGAGAGGCCAAAAGCATTATTTAGGTTCATTTGTTTTTGGGGGGAGGGCACTGTAAAATGATTTGCCCCTGGGAATTCCTTTTTTGGGACTTAGAAAATTGACATTTTTGTGTGATTTTATATGGGATCTGGCTGGGTTTTTGGACTCCGGGAAAATGGCCCCAAGAATACTCAGTCTTGGTATGTATTTGATTTGGCTTCTACATTTTGAGCAATGGGAAAATGGTCGCCGTCAATTGGAACTTGACAATTGGGTGAGTAGCTACATTTCTTGATGTTGACCTCAAGTTTTACTATGCTGAAGTCCCAGATCACATGCTTCTGGTAGATCCCTACCTGCCATATCTGCTACTGGTTCCTGGCTTGCTCACTTCCTGGTGAGATGATCCTGAGAACTGCGACCTGGTGCTAACACGCAGCAAAATCCATCTCCACCATTAGGAGCTCTGGTGATACCAGTTAGTACTTAGACCCCGCACCTCAGGTGAGCCTGCGTCATTCCCAGGGGGACCTGCCTGTGTACCTATCCTGCTGGTTTCAGGTAAGCCTTACACTGCTGGTCTTTGATCCTGACCCCTGATCGTGACAACGGAAATAGATCGTATCCATAGAGCTCTGGTCCCTGTAAAACTGGATGGGCCTCCTCAAGACATAATCATTAAACCCCATTTTTTTAAATTAAGGAGGCGGTGATGCGATACGCCAGGGAACATCCAGATTTGGAAATCCATGGGCACAGGATTCAAGTCTTTGCAGATATTTTTCAAGCTACTATCCTGAAACGGAGGAAGTTCAAGCCGTTGCTTTCATCTTTAATTCAAAGGGACATTCGTTATCAATGGAAATATCCATTTTGCTTACAATTTACTTACAATGGCAAATCCTACGCCTTTTCTACATTTTCGGCTGCATTGGGCAGAAAAAATACATGAAGACTAATTTTAAAACAGTCCTGTTCACTGAGGAGTGCCGTGCAACCCTGGATGGTCCAGATGGATGGAGTAGTAGATGGTTGGTGGACAGCCACCCTGTTCCAACAAGGCTGCGACGTCAGCAAGGCGGTGGTGGAGTCATGTTTTGGGCCAGAATCATGGTAACAGAGCTGCTCAGCCCCTTTAGGGTCCCTGAAGGTGTAAAGGTGACCTCTGCAAAGTATGTGGAGTTTATGACTGACCACTTTCTTCCCTGGTACAGAAGGAAGAACTATGCTTTCCGTAATAAAATCATCTTCATGCATGACAATGCACTATCTCATGCTGCAAAGAATACCTCTGCATCAATGGCTGCTATGGGGATAAAAGGAGAGAAAGTCATGGTGTGGCCTCCATCCTCCCCTGACCTCAATCCTATTGAGAACCTTTGGAGCATCCTCAAGCAAAACAAATTCAAGCAGAAACTGTCCAAAACCTCACAAGATCAATGGATGCAAGACTTGTGAAGCTGCTATCAAATAAGGTGTCCTATGTTACAATGTAACGTGACCTGTTAAAATGTTGTTAAAAGTTTGATTGAAATAGCTTTTGATTTCAATAAATATGCTGCAAACACAACAAATGACAATTTTCAGTTCTTTACAACCTATAAAGTGTTTTGAAACTTCCTGTGCGGAATAATTTGGAACAGCATTGTAAGTTTTTTATGTTTAAAAAAAAAATCCTGTTATCATTAGGAGGTTTGTTCAATAAAATGTGAATTGTACTCTTATAGTTGTAATATGAGAATTATGCCGACTGTTTTTTACAGCAATTATTTAGGTAAAAATATAATTTGCAAAATAATTTGGAACACGGTGTAGAATACATAAAGATATGCCTGGCTACAAATTGTTCTGGTTGTCACACACAGGAGACGCGACTGAGTGCCGCCTGTCAGAGGAATCCACACAGAGATTTACTATTGAACAGCGTCTAAAAAGAAAGCGCCCCACGGCAGATGGCTAAATTTTGTCCTGCACATGCTCAGTTCTATCCCTGCATAGACGTTGGAAAAGCGTCTAGTTCTTGACTTTCATGAATTCCCTAAAAAAACTATTTTTTACCCACTGAAATATTTTTTGAAAAGTAATATATTTTTTAAATGAGATGTTTGGGAAAGCAAATTTCAATGTGAACGTTTGTGCAGTGATTGTTCGTTGTGTTAGACGTGTTTCTAGGACGTCTGCTTTCTTAGACGGATTCCTGGATTGGCCTGGTTAGTAAATTCCCTTTCCCGTCTACTTGTTAGACTCTTTCTTTAGTAAATGTCTTTGCCGCCTTAAAGTGGACAGATTTCAATGAAAAGTAGACTTGAGCCCACGGAAATGTGCCTAGACGCCGTCTATGTACATTAGTAAATCAGGGCCAGTGTCTCTAGGGTGATGACAGAAAGGTAGGCCATTCTCCAGCTCCTGAACCCTATGGATATCACGGCCTCCTAGGAACAAAGAGTCATAGAATCGGCTCCTGACTGTCTACAGAGATGTGTGGAGTGATTGCCTGACAGCCTGCTGGCACAGCGAACAGTGATGTCTGTGT